CTGGGAGACGCTAGTCGACTTGCGAAGCATCATACTCGAGAAGGACATACAGAAGATAGCTGTTCCAAAGCTGGGGTGTGGACTGGATGGCTTGAATTGGAGAGTTGTAAGGAACATGCTGGAGGTTTTATTTAGATTTACCGGAGTTGAAATTCTGGTATGCTGCTGGAACTCCAAAGGAACTCCAAGAGAGAAGACAGTGCCATGCTATTTCTACCATACTGCACGTTGTAGAAATGAAACCAGTTGTCCCTATCTTCATAGTGATCAGAATGCATTCCAGGAGGAATGCGTTTTAAGGAGGGGGCAGTGTGATGATATTCCCCTTGGAGGGGCTCTAGAAACATCAGCAGGAAGGCAGGAGTACAACGATCATCCTGTATCACGCATCCCCGATTGCTCTCCAACCTCTCAATGATTCCTACTTACACCAGCATATTTCCGAACACTCAATATATGCCGCAGTGACAAATAACGTCACAGAAGATTCTGGAATGTTCTGGAAACAATCGATGGAACAATTAGAGAGAGAGGTTTTGTTCTAAGAAGCTTCTAGAACAAAAAGAAGGAGACGGAAAATCATTCGAGAACGTTCTCGACCAAAGCCTGCCATGTGTTCTCATATATAAGACCGCCGAACAACTGCTGTCAGGCAGTCAAACAGCGAGTGTCAGAGAGACAGTTATATACCGCGTGTTATAAATCGTTTTACATAAATAGTAGTTATAAGTTCGATATAAATTATTGTTTCTTTAGTTTAAATAAATCAGTTGGAAAATAAATAGTGTCGTGTTCGCTTCTGCACCCGAATAACGTAACAATACATTGATATAATACTGAACATTAGAAAACATGAGCAATATTCTGCAAATAACGTCAAATGATGAACATAATATTGCATAGTCTCTGGTCCAAAGATTCATACTTTTTTCGTGGGGGCTCCTCTTCAGGAATGGCTTTCGCAATTTTAAGTTTCGTCAAGCATTTTCCTTCTTGACTTTGTCTAGGAAATTCCAGAGAAATGATTTCTGTGCGTCAATAAGGAATAAAAATCCCCTATGCCACGATTCAGCGGCGTTGGTCAATTGTGATTGCTGAAGAACACTTTCAAAGTAGCTCCAAAGAGAATGATCAAACATGTGTCCAGCTCTAATTTTCGAAATAATCAATAAATTCTTCATTCACTTCCGTGGACAGATGTTCTCTCACTAACAAGTCGAAGCCTCTGAAGATTTAAGCAACTGGTACGAGAGATAATGATTCCAGCATATCGATTTTCGAATTACAATAATAGAATAATGCTCTTCCATAAGTATATAGTTTTTTTGCAAACAATTTTTGTGGCGTCGCTATTGACGGTCGTGAATAATGTCGGTATTTGTTTAGATAAGTTATCCAGGTATGTAGATGTTGAGAAAAAAAAAACCAGTTTTTCGAAATAAAGGAATAAACGTTTTCGAGAAAACGGCTCTTCGAAATGGATGATTTTGAAAATACAACCTTTCGAAAAGTTGTTTCTAGAAAAAAATGACCTTCGAAGGGAAAGATTTTCGATAAACTGTTTTTCGAAAAAAATTCCGCGTCCCGATTATGGTGAATCAATAAGAGCTTTTCGGCATTTTCAGAGTTTAGCCTACACCTATTATCAACAAATATATTGCCAATTTCTGAAAATAGTCGCTCTGAATAGACACTAGTTGCTGGGTTCCCCGACTTCTTTTATTTTTTTATTATTGGCTGCTATTCTCCAATTGAATGAGTAGAAATGTTTTAATTTTGTTAATGCTGATTAAAAATTGATAATAAACAGTAATTTCCATCTAGGTGAAAGTAATGGTAATTAACACTCTGCATACTGTAGCTAGTTTGAAAAATAAATCAGCCTCAATGTTTTAAGAATAAACATAGGCATGCACATACATTTTAAATTTAGGTCCCGATCCGGTGCATCCCTAGCTATAACTCCCTAGAGGACTTTTTCTGGACCCATATTTATATAAACTTTTTTCCCTATTTTCGTTCCTAGAACCTGCAGTTGAAATCTTCCTATGTAATTTCGGGACACCCAGTATACAGGGTGTTCATTAAGACCTTGTACAAACTTTAAAGGGTCTATCTGTGACTAATTTCAAGATAAATAGTTCACATGAAGATGGGCAATTTTTTTATCATATTTTCGTTCAATGGCATGACAAACGTAACTCGGGATTCTGGATGTATTGATGACGAGACACTTATTGTTTATTTAATTTTCTGTTTAATGTTAGAGGGCACCACATTATAGTGTTGTACCTGGATTTAATTTCCATGACTATTTTGTGGTGCACTGTATATCATTTGTGACTAGGCAAAGCTATTATCCATTCAATTTTACAAACAATAGGCATTCTTAGTATTTGCCGCTAGAAGCAGCCTTTGTTTATAAAAACTCGTTTAAAGTTGAACTTTTGCATTGGAATTTTCGAAAAGTAATTGAAAAAATTTATATTTAATTGCTTGTATTGTCAGATAACAAACTTAGATCATTTACAAGACTGAACTAGTTAATAACAATAATAATAATAATAAAGTGCTTTATTGATCATATGTACAATACAATCAACTGGCCATCGACCTGAGTCCTTCAGCCAATATGTTTTATTTCTTCTTCTTGAAATGTTTTTCCTTTTGAGTTGGTTAAAGAGTGAAGACAGTTTTTGTTGAAAAAAAAAAAAAAAAAACAAGAATATTTTACATTAAATAAAAAAATATTATGGAATTTCGGTTAGATCCTGAAGTAGTGTTATCAGCGACTTTTCTGGAAATTTGTTTCTTGGTCTAGCATTGGTCCTTTCTAGAATCAGTGGAGTTATCAGATTCATGTTCTCAGGCTTGGAGGCAAATTTCTTAGACAGTGTTGGCAGTCTTTCCTGTAACCTTTGCACCTTGGTCGTGGAATATAGCAGATCATTGGGTGGGTTGTGTAGCACATTGTCTGGATGACGCATTCTAGTGATGGTTCGTAGTGCGGAGGTCTCGGCGATTTGCAGGTTCTTCATTGCGGGATTTCTTATGTTCAGGAATAGAGGGTGGCCATATTCTAATATTGGTCTGCAAATTGATTTGTAGATTTTACTAGCGGTGCTGATGTTGATGCCATGGTCTCTATATGTTAAAGATTTGAAATGCTTTGCTCTTCCCTTAACTTTATTTTTTGCAATTGCTGTGTGGTGATTGAAATTCAGCTTGTGGTCAAGATGGACCCCCAAATATTTTACAGTGGAGCGTGGATGTATTTGGTGATTGTTGATAGTGATAGTGGGAGAGTTGATGGATGGGGTATGATTGAAAATTATCATTTCCGTTTTCAGAGGGTTGATTTGAAGTCTCCATTTGTTGAACCAAGTATGGATTTGGTTTGTTAATTGTTGGAGTTGTTGAATGGCGGCTGTTTTGGTTCTCTGGTGTGATATTAATGCTGTGTCATCTGCATATTGTAAAATGTATGTCTGTTGATTTACAACCTGCTGTACTTCTTGTAAATCAGCACAGTATACATTATACAGCAAAGGTGACAAAGGCGAACCCTGGGGTACACCTTGTGTGGCAAAAAATTCGTTGGAGAAAGCATTGTTAATTTTCACTGAGAGTTTTCTTGATGAGAGGAAACTATTCACTATATGTATCATCCAGGAAGGAAGTTCTAGCATGTGGAGTTTGAATAATAAGCCTTTATGCCAGACACTATCAAAAGCTTTTTTAATGTCTAGAAATACCGCACTAGAGCAATGGTTGTTGATTCTAGCTGTTTGTACATTGGATGCCAGAATAACTAATGGATGGAGTGTGGAACAGTTTTCTTTGAATCCGAATTGATATGGTGGAATTTTTTGTCTCACTAATTCCGAAAGTTTGTTTTTAATCAATTTTTCCAGGAGCTTTCCCAGAACCGGAAGCAGAGTGATTGGTCGGTAGTTGTTTGCTCTGGAATGGTCTGCATTGGGTTTAGGAATTACCACGATCGTTCCTCTCCTCCAGATGTCCGGAAAATATTGGTTTTTGATGCAGAAGTTATAAATTTTCATTATATAGAGATGAATATTGTAATCGAGTTTTTTCAGAATTGACCAGGGTATGTTATCGCTGCCAGGAGCTGAATTTCTTTGGTTGTGTAAGATAGTGAAATATTCTTCTTCGTTTGTTTCGAATTCATGGAGCTCTATGTCCCTACCAAAGAAATCTTCGTACCACCTGTTGACTAAATCTGAATTTTCATGGTCGAAGTTGGGATTATCAGCTGCGGTGAAATTTTCTTCAAATACTTGAGCGAAGATTTAATTTCCATGACTATGTTGTGGTGCACTGTATATCATTTGTGACTAGGCAAAGCTATTATCCATTCAATTTTACAAACAATAGGCATTCTTAGTATTTGCCGCTAGAAGCAGCCTTTGTTTATAAAAACTCGTTTAAAGTTGAACTTTTGCATTGGAATTTTCGAAAAGTAATTGAAAAAATTTATATTTAATTGCTTGTATTGTCAGATAACAAACTTAGATCATTTACAAGACTGAACTAGTTAATAACATTTACAATGATTGCTGAAAATGATCACCGCCTACTTCAACGCATGCATTGTCTTTTTGACGTTCTGTATCTCAAAAACCTAGCCGTTGCTGGCCCATGTTCAAATAAACTTTTTATCTTGAAATCAGTAGAAGATCAAACCTTTGAAGTTTGTACAAGTAGGTACTTAATAAACACCCTGAACATTTCAATAACCATATTTGTCATATTTATGCATAAAATCAAAAACTACCATGCTCATTTGAATCAGAATTGCTAACTCATGCATATCAATGAAAAATAAATCCAAATATACACAGTATGATAATTCTATCAATATTTGTAAGTTAAATATAAATTTTCAACAAAATAAATTTCAATAAATGAAGAAGTGAGCATTGATTAATCTTTATTGACTTGGATGATGAAAAATTACTGTTCCTAAGAGACAAGATTCAATCCAACTGCATTACAAAATATACAGGGTAAGTCAATAGTGTGTTCTCCTTTGATATCAGCCAAACCGTCAGGTACCTATATTAAAAAAAATCGAATACAACAGTTATAGAATTTTATGAGTGCTTTCACCTGAAATTATTTTCATATCTATAGGATGTTCGAATTCCAAGATATCGGCTGATGATGAGTGTTTTTAAATGGGAATTTAATTGGAATAGATACAGGGTGATCATAAATCTTGAATTTTGAAACACCCTATATTTGTTCCAATTAGGTGTCAGTAGATGTTGAATCAAAAGTTGATATAGGGACATGTAAGCCGTTTCGATCAATAATAAATAGTTTTAACACAAAAAAATAACAAAGTTGAAAAATATAGAATTTGAACACCCTATATCTCTATAAACATTTCAGCTAGTCCCCAAGTGCGATACATTGATGAAATCAGCTTTTGAGGGAGAATCTAAAAATGTAATAATATACAGGGTGTCTCATTTGTGAACACCCATCATCAACCGATATCTTGGAATCCGAACACCCTATAGATATGAGAATAATTTCAGGTGATAGTTCCCAGGAAACCCAATAACTGTTGTATTCGAATTTTTTTTATATATCTGACGGTTTGGCTAATATAGAAGGAGAACACACTATTGACTCGCCCTGTCTAACAATTTGGCTTTTGGTTGTCAAGAATATTAGCACAATCCTATCTGTTGAAATATTACACGCAATGTATATGAAATTCAAGATAAAATATATTATATTCTAGAGATCTAATAATGGATATAATTTATTAGGATTTGACAGTAAGCGATATTTTACACAGAGCAAAAATACAAGATGGAAAAATGTACATATATCTACAAAAATCTCACTGGTGGCATTTTGTTTTAATAAATATGGAAAAAATAAAAACACGGTCTTTATAAGAATAATTGACTGAACTCACTGACAGTGAATAAAATGATGGACATTTTGAGTCTTTACCCTTTCACAGTTAACATACGGTCCCTCAGACAAAGCGTGTATAGAAAATTTGCGTTGATTCCTCAACAAGTTGTATTTTGCGGCAATGCCTCATAGTAGCTTAACCTTTTAGCTTGCGAGTTCGAACAGGTTTTGGTATGCGAGACCGATGTTAACTAGAGTATTAGAATTTTCAATATGTTGGAAAACGAGTAATCCTGTATTCAACTTGTATCTTATAATTTGAATAATTTCCGGCATGCGAAATTCAAAATGTTTCCTTGGTAAAAAAAACTCAGTAATATACCATGAGTTACGAAAAAGAAGTAGAAAATATGAATGGAAATGGAATGGGCAAGGACGAAAATGCTGCCTGAAGAGAGTCAGATAATATAATATTGTAAACAGGTGCCTAAAATGAATAGCTGTTTGAAGATAACAGTTTCAATACTTCGCATTGTTTATATGTCAATGATTATTTTCTTCGGATGATTTTGAACCAATCAGAACGTTCAATTGAGTTGTAACCTTGTATAATTTCGAATATACGTGAAAATACATAGAGCAACTCTACCAATCAGAAATTCAGAATTATTTCCATTTCCATAGTAACCAATTCATATTGTTTAATACAAACAAAGCACGTCGTGAAATTCCAAACTTCCCGCACAATTACAAATCGTTTCAATTTGAAAATAAAATCCTCCCACTTCGTGGTCGGATTATTTCAACTGTTAAATTCACACTATTTGTAATTATGCAATAAGTTATCGTTGTATAACCCAGTTATATTTTGAAGCTTTGAAATTCTTTGCCAATGAAATTATTCCCAAGAACTTATAACCTCCAAAATTGAATAAAAAACAATACCTACCTCCTCTCCCTATCCTCCATAGGTACGCACGATGTTCCACGAAGATTATAGGAATTTCCTTTCGTGCGCTCCAAGAGATAAAAAAATACTAATTATATTAGTACTTGAAATAACGGGTGACACAGACTCCCCTTTTCTCCTTTGATTTTCTAGCTATATTTCTGAAATTTGGAATATTTAATATGCTCACTAGAATGCACATTCTCACATTTCAGTTTTTGTTTTTCATCTTTCGGTTTTCCGGGAAATGACATCAACTTTCGATTTTCGAATGGAACACCCAATACTTTATTCCGTAATCGGTTAGAGATTATTATCCAAATTTCAGAAATATAGCTAGAGAAACAAAAGGAGAACAGGGGAGTATATCATGAGTATGTCTCACCCGGTATGCCAAGAGAGAATATACTTCTGGTGATCTTATCAACTGAATTAATAGTGTTTGTGCTAATCAAAAAGCCTGTTTCTGAACATCGACTTCAATTTCAATGTTATAGAAGTTCATGTTAACTGTGAAAGCTCAACAGAACTCATTTTCTAAAAGTCTGACGTATGTAATCACCTCTGATATGATTGCAAAATAAATGTATAAAGCTCATGTTCGTTTCATAAAAAAATTGATATTGTATTCTCGAATATTCTAGATGATTAAAAAGAACTTGCAAAAAATTGAGATGAAGGTTTGTTTAAATTGTGTGAAGATTTTGAAAACTGAAATTAAAAAGTTCAGTGCAAACCATAATCCAAATTTCTTATTTCAGTTAATCCTACCATTTTGTATACATAAGGAAAAATAAGAAGAATATATATAGGCCATAATATGAATAATATTTGATCACAATATCTTGCAGGAATATTCAACTTTTGGGTACCTAAACATTGTCTTCATTTACTCAATAAAAAATTGATGCAATACATACAAACAATTTTTAGATGTTTTGACTAAACCAATAGTTTTAAAACATATCAATAATTCATTTCAAAATAGAGTAAGTTGAGTTGGCAGTAAGGTTAAAGGATTTTGTAATCATATGAATTGTACATGTGATAGTGAACAAACATTTTGTTCTTCTCTGAGGCAATACAAAATAAAGTGCAAATCAACATAACACATAATACTCGTCATCTCTCACAATTATTTGAAAATAATTCCGGTATAAAATTACAGTCTATTTTACATTTTATGAAGTATTTTCCATCACAATAATGAATCTTGACAACCTGTAATGAATGAACAAATTAAAATAGTTATACCTAATTATTGAACTTTTTGCATAATGCATTATTTTATTTCAGATGTATTTGCCACAATGTCTAAATATAAGTACTGAAGTATTTCTCTTGAAACAGAATATTTCAAAAACTCACCCACTTTCATCAGAGAATTACATCTTCAGTTCTTCAGATGTTCTGAAGTTAGATAGTGTCTTTTTGATCCTCAAAGCTGTTAGTCTAGCAGTGGCATTATGATACCAACATTCCTTCATCAGCTTTGACATAATGTGAAGAGCTTCACAACTTTGCCAGCGATTTGGTATACTTGGTCTCTGTTTTTCAACACATACAACCCTGCAAAAAGATATACAATGATTTCCTATGAAAATGAAAGTGAGTCAGAATAATATGTAGCCATCACCACCTCAAGAACTAAGTAAACGGCTAGCATTATATCAACAAACCCAAAAATGGAATGATTCTGGGTTTTTCATAAAAGACAACCATGAGTCTCATTGAATATATAGTATATACAGGGTGTCCAAATTATGCTCTCTTGGACCATAGCTGCTATGCTGACAGAGATGCAAAAAAAATCATCGAAAGTTATTGGAGACTTCATAAGCTACTCTTCAAAATTATTTTCGAGTATACAGGGTGCACAATGAATCCGGGGTGAAAGAATCGATCATTTTTTATAATGGTACACCCTGCATATTATTTCATTTTGGAATCTGTCTCATGTGGGCTCAACAAACCTATTTTGTTTTCGAGGATCAGATGCGACGTTGTCAAGTCATTGACAATTTAATCGAATTTTACGAGAAAACATGAATGTTGAAAAATATTCGAGGAAACTATATTTTTGAAGATTTATGAGCAAAACTGGATATATAGATACTGAAAGTATGTGTAGAAACTCAGACATTATTTGGGTTCACACAAAATATACAGGGCGTTTTAAAATAAGGACCAAATTTCGCTATTTTCAAATCGCCGAAACTATTTTTTTTTTTCAAATGGACCACCCTGTATATTATTTCATAATCTAAAAGCTCATCTAATGGGCTTTTCGGTGATACCATATAGACCGTATCCAACGATACTCTTCGATAGGTAAATAACGATAAATCAATTCAACTATACATTTTTATTCAAAAACAATAACAAACATTGAGAAAATTCAACTGACATTCGGGAAAGTTCAAACTTTGATCGAATTCCGTACTTTTGACAACATTTCTGGTGTTATGGTTGCAAAAGTTTCCCTTATCCTCATCTTTATGTTTTCTTTTGTAGTTACTGGTTTCGAATACACTTTGTCCTTAACATAGCCCCATTAAAAGAAATCGCAAGGAGTCAAGTCTGGCAACCTTGCAGGCCAGTATATTGGAGCTCCTCTACCAATCCACCTATCTTGAAAACCATCATTCAACCACTGGCGAACTGGTACAACATAATGTACTGATGCACCGTCTAGTTGAAACCACATATTATTCAACAAATTTTCTGTTACATGTTGAAGCATCGGTCCCAAATGATTTTGTAGAAAATCTAAAACTACTACTCCATTCACCACACCATCACAAAAGTAGGGTCTTTCAAAGACCATCTTTCTTGGGAAGTGGTTCTGAATAAATGAGGATTTTGATCGGAATAATAATGACGATCCACCGCCCCATTCTTGTGAAATGTAGACTCATCAGTGTAAAAAACCTTTCTAGAAAAAAAATCTTTCAGTTTTACCACCTACAATGTTCTATTCTGCGATTGAAATCCTGTGGTAGAAGTTCTTGGTGTAATTGAATATGGAATGGATGAAATTTAGTTTTCATTATTATCCGTTGTACTGAAGTTCTAGAATTCCGACATATTGGCTCAATTCTCTGCTACTTATATTCGGGTTTTCAACCACAGCCGTCATTACCATCATCTCGTTCTCCTCCGTTAAAACGGTAGTTTGCTTTTCTTCATGTTTCAAATAATTCATTGAACCACTACTATTGAATCTATCACCTAGATTTGAAAAGCACTCAACTTTATGCGTCTTCTGTCAGGATATCGTTGGGCATATACTCTACTGCCAAAAGACACTCACCCAAAATGTATATAATTTCAATCAATTCGTCTTTTGAATAATTCATTATCAAACAGTAATGTGCTACACCAAAAAGAGTAACTGAAAACTGTATTATGTTCATTTGTTTTCAGTGATTTCTTTGCATTCATCTCGAAGGAGTTATAAACAACAATTATACACGTGAATTAATATATTTAAATAAAACAATCAAATATAGACTCGAAAAAACATGTTCAATAGCAAAAGACACTTCAAACACCTTATCGAAAGGGCTTTCTCTAAAATTTAATCCTTTCAAATACTCTAAATCATACATATTTTCAAAAAGTTCGTTCATATTTTTGATTGAAAAAAGTATTTTTGATTCCGTTGTTATTCGCCTACTGAAGAGTATCGTTAGATACAGTCTATATGGTATCACCAAAAAGCCCATTGAATGGGCTTTCAGATTATGAAATAATATTCAAGGTGATACTTTTGAAAAAATGAGTTTCGGCGAATTGAAAATAGCGAAATTCGGTCCTTATTTCAAACCACTCTGTATATTTTGAGTGAACCTAAAAAATGTCTGAGTTTCTACACAAACCTGTACCTGTACACCCAGTTTTGCTCATAAATCTTCGAAAATATAGTTTCCTTGAATATTTTTCAACATGTTTTCTAAATTTGATTAAAATGTAACTTGACAGCGTCACATCTGATCCTCAAAAGCAAAATAGGTTTGTAAGGCCAACATGAGACAGATTCCGAAAATGGAATAATATACAGGGTGAATCATTTTTAAAAAATGATCGATTCTTTCAACCCGGATCCATGGTACACACTGTAAACTCGAAAATAATTTTGTCTCCAATAACTTCCGTCTTGGCGAAGAACATAGAAAACAGGGGGGCTTTGTATGGCGTTGAATTGAATAACTTATTATTTTTTTAGGTTATGAGACAAACAGGAACCACAGAATAACAGAACAGTCAGATAATGTCACCGATTACACATCTATGCAACATCATTGGCTTATGTTCAACTGATGTCCCTAATAGAGGTGACATCAATATCTTTATTTTCTAGTGATATCACAGAAATATTCGGGTCCTCGCATTGTTAGCTGGGTGAATAAAACATACTATGCAATTCTCCAAATGAAACCAATTTTTGACATAAAAGATCTGTTGAACTTATACTATGCATTTGCATACCGCCACATATCAAATTACATTGCAACATGGGGCTCAGCAACTTCGCACATGAAAGTCTTCACTTCACAAAAAAAAGAATTATCAGACTACAGAGTTGGATTTCTGAGAGTCATGTAGACCAGTATTTAAAGATGCTCTATTCTAACTTTCAATTCAATCTTCATCCTAAAATGTACAACATGTGGAAGCCAACATTTCCGATTTCAACACTTTAGGAAGTAATCATTACTACCCTACAATAAACTCAATTTTGGATATATCAAAACATACAAAATCAACCTTCAAAAAGTATAACCTGCAAAACTGTATATCTGCATAACAATTTACCAACACAGTTGATATGTAACGTTCAAAAACGCAACAAAAAAAAAAAACTATTAGAAAACTGCTTTTATTCCATGAATGTTCATTAAACAAATAAATTGTTCCATTGAAATTGTACTGTAACCATCATAAACTATTATTTTATTCTGTATACTTTGAGGATGTTTACATAAATGTATGTATATATTAATATATTCTCGATCCTGTGAGATTTGTCCTGCCATTTATACTAGTTTACTTATTATGACAAATTAATTGCTACTACTACTTACGAGTTCCTAAATGTTCTTGACACTGCTGGTTTGACGTTTTTTGTATATTAGAGTACGGACACTATGACAAGCACTGACAATCAGACACAACCACAAATAAATTGCTGGAGAAAGCAGGAACTGACCGTACACGGACGTATATGTCATAAATTCCAAAGGTTTGACAAATTGAGAGAATTAGGAGAAAGATGCTAGCGAACACGGGAAATCAGTTCACTCTATTCGAATTTCCATCGGATAACGTAATTCTACAAAAATGGAAACAGAATATGATGCGGCTGGCATGGAATATAGGTTCGGGCCACAAAATTTGCGAGGTATTCAAATTACTTGGTAGGATATGGAACATTTTTCAACGCATTTTGATCAGGTACACTTCAGGACGGAAGATTTCGTGTTGAAGAATAGAATGCGAGTATTGAAAAGAACCTTATTCCAATTTAGACTCTGGTTATTGCTTGTGATGGAATGATGGAGCAGAGATAACAATAGCCACCATGGAGATCATGGTCGATCATCTGATGATGAAACAGCAGCAACTTCCTGAATTGACTGACTCAAACAGATTTCACATCCCTGTTCAACCAAGAATTCTTTAGATCATCTTCGTATACGAACTCTTAAAATAATTTTGTGAGAACAAAGTCACTTTGTGGAACTCTGATGTACCAGATATTGATGTATTTATATCAAAGAGTTGAATATATTATACTGTTCGTGTATCGCTTCGTCAAAGTTGAAATCCCAAGTCTGAATGTGCATGTTCATGCGTAGTTGAGAAGTACTAGATGACTACATAGCTCCAAGTGGATTTTGAACCACTTCTTGGGTACCAAGAAACGAGCAAGATAATTATCAGAGCACAGAACAAGAACGCTTAACGAGTGCACCATTTATGTTAGGTATTGAAAATGATCTTCCGATGGCCGGGTTCAAACCAACAATCCCCTTTAGCAATGTGAACGGCGATCTATAGTATAGTATATTTATACCTACCTCCGTATGTCTTGGAGAACCTTTATTATTTATCCTCACTGAAATCAGCTGTTAAGGTTGCCATATCATTTGTTCATTTATTAATTACTTATTACCTACCACTTTTGTACAAGTGAAATTGTTCCATACGAAATAAAAGTATGTTTCATTGGTTGAAATTTATCTGTTTTTACCCCATTCTGAACTTTTGCAATAAAAAAATATTCAACTCAACGTTTATATATACCTAACATATGAGAGACTTATTTCATAGGAATAGTATGTATTTCGTTGGTATGTATGTACATACCAACTTGATATCGACCTCCATTGAGGTTCTTCAGCCTTGTCATCCGATATTTCGTGAAGAAATAATTTTCTAATCAATTCTAGACGCTATGCACTCTCAAACAAAAATCAAAGACAGAGAAAGATATATGAATGTACTCTTCCCAGGAAAACATATTCTTGTCCTTGTCTGGCAAAACATATGATTTGCTTCAAAATCGTTTGTGGTTTTGTTTGATTGTCACTGCTTGTCTATTGTCCGTACTCTAATATACAAAAAACGTCAAAACAGTCAACTACTATTATTTACCTCCTCATCTCCTCAATGGTAGGATCAGATAACACCGCATCATGAAACGGCAACTGGTATTCATCGAAAATCCCACCTACATTACACCGCCTGGATATCTCCCAGAATATCAGCCCCAAAGCGTAGACGTCGGCACGTTTAAATGAATCGAATTGATCGATGTTCATTGTCTCATCTAGCACTTCGGGAGCCATGTAACGTTTTGTTCCTACACGATTATTTAGAGGTATGTCCACTGTGTCTGTTGTGACGTCATGACGAACAGCTAGTCCTAAGTCGCCGATGGCACACGAGCCATTTAGCTTCACCAGAATATTCTTGGATTTGAGGTCTCGATGAGCGATGGCAGGTTTACCTGAAAGATATGAAATCATGTTTGAAGAAATGAATGGAAAATATCAACGCAGCATCGCGTTATTTACAGGGTGTTTCAGAGTTGTGGTGACAACAGTCTAGGAAAGATTGATCTCAACAAAATATGAAAAAAAGTTCATATGAACATGGGTCCGAAAATGCATCGTTTCCGAGACACAGGGTGTCTAAAAATTACGTATTACCAATGACATTCATTATAATCTCCAAAAATTCAAGCAGAATGCCAATATCTACCTAATTATTTGTCTGCATACCACTAAAATGATCACGATTCACGATTCATAAATAATAGCTTCGATGAATATTTATTTTTCCTTATTGGAGTTCAGAGATATGCCGAGGTATGGTATTGTCCGTTTTTCTCGAAAACAAAGCAAGATACGAAAAAAAGGCAAGAGACAGAAATGTTGAATATTTAGTGGGTTTATCTGAATATTTAATAGGAACCCGAAAAAAAACACGGGGTAATTTTTTTAATAAAACAGCCGACTTGTTCGATGGGTACGCCCTTGAAAATTTTGGAGAAAATCTAATTGTTCCAGTAAATGTCTGATGATTGTGTAAATGAGCCATGAAAATTGTATTCAAATCAGCTCAAGCACTTTCAAGAAATTCATGAAAACATTTTTTCAACTTGGCCCTGTATCTCGGAAATGAAGCATTTTCGAAATCATGTTCATATGAACTTTTTTTCATATGTTGTTGAGAATAATCGCCCCTAGGCTTTTGTCACACCGTAGGTGTACGCAAAATGGAAGAGATTCAACAACATTCAACAGGTATCAATGATGCTTCAACTTGACATTGTTGGAAAATCCGGAAATTAAACCAAAATCACCTATGCCAATACTCAATCTCAAGTTGCACCCTCCTGAACTGAACGAATTTACCCAAACGACAGTATTTACCGGAATGTAGACATATCGAAATTTACAGAACTTTAAGCTAACCTAAAAAACTTATGTGAGGATTACTTAGCTGTGTGCACGTGTAGATATACCAAAATAGTACAAAATGTAAAATAATTTATTGAAATGGTTCGTAACAGAGCGCTTTCGACTATATAATCATCATCAGTGCTTACCTATAAGCAAGTTATCAGCTTTAAGCTATTGAAAAAGACATCAGAGAATAATAATAATAAATATCAATTTTCTCTGTCTGTTTCAATATCTAAAAGCTGAATACTTATCTACAGGTACGCCCTTATGATGACTGTATATTGGAAAGCGCTCTGCTACGAAAAATTTGAATAAATTAGTTTTCACGAAATACAACATTTTGTACTATTTTGGTGAAAAAAATATCACAATTTACTAGGGTATGCATCCAATGTGTGGTGTAGCTAACTATGTGCTACCAGTTTGTTTATGTGTGTAGTTGGTGTACACTGCTTTTTATTACTGGATACTCTTTATTTGATAAATTTTTATCGGAGGATACGGTCCGGCAAGGACCGGCAAATTGGCAGTGAATAAATTCTTCACGAATGAAAAGGTTGAATTTCATTTCAGTTCATATCAACTGAATACATTACATAATGATTCCACATAATTTTGCGTCAGCTGAAATCCAAAACGAGCAAATTGAATTAAATGTTAAGGTATAGAGTTTGTTTATAGAATAGTTACAAGTAGGAGTATTAAGAAAGTATAGCATTTGGCAACATCGCAGCCACGGAGATATGCGAAGAGCAACTCTCGCCGTTAGATAGAATTTCATTTTTAAATATTCCTAGGGAAGACGCACGATAGCCGAATCATTTTGCCATTCACATGCCCTGTATGTAACGATTCTATAAACAACCTGTATAACATTTATTGCTCCATTTTCGAAGAAACAATAACTGATAGAAATAAATAAAAAGAATTTTTCGCCTGCATGATGTCATAGCCATTTCCACGTGAGTACAATCTAATTCAATATGTTGATCACCCATTATTGTAATAATTGCATTTTACTTGTTTTGAATTTTCACCACATATGATTGTATAACTTGTCAATTTCCACTCAGCTATGTAACCATTGTGCTAGATGTTGAGTATGAACACAAAAAATGTTTCTTTGTAGATTAGCTTTATTCTGTACTTTGACTGATGATGACCATTTGAATGGTCAAAAAATGGACTACTTCAGAAGATTTTTCAGATGATTTAATAACTGATTATTCTTTGATTGTTCTGAAAATATACTTTTAGAATAAGATGTGGAATGAAGAATAAATATCCTTATCTGTTATTCAAATAAGAAATATGTTAATACATGAAAGATAAAATGTGAATGAAGAAATCTCGACTAGGTTGTCTAGTTTTATCTTGACTCGATGACCATTAATTATAAGAACGATAATAATTGATTTTTGGGGTCTCTTTACCCTCATCTTTCGAATTACATTTTACGGAACATATAACACAAAAACTTAAAAATGCTTATAGTACACTGAAATTGATTTATTCACAAAGGTATTTTCTAAACTCAAAAACGAAAAAAATGCTTTGCGACGCACTGGTATTGTCGCACTTTAACCATTGTGATGCTGTTTATGGTCCTTGTTTGAAGTCCGCCGATTCAAGTAGGATTCAGAAAGTACAGAACTCCGTCTTCACATGGCATGTCTGTTTTTCAGTGTATACAAATTCAAAACCCCACCATATCTTCATACTAAACTTTCTTACAGAACTGAAATTCATAATCTTAATATCCGTAGACTACTTTTACTTACAGTACCTAAACACAAAAAAGAAATATTTAAACGATCTTTCAGTTACAATATCTCAATTTTTATGAACAACTTGAATGCACAAGACAGCTCACTTCTGAATTTATCTATGAACACTTTCAAAACAAAGTATAAAAATATATTACTCCTTGCCCAGTCATGATGACTTTCTTATGTCTATACACGATCTCTACAGTTGCTCAATTATTATGATGTAATCATGTTGTGATACTTGTTCTAACCTCCTTTTTTATTTTTTTTCTCTTCTTTTCTGTTCTATTCTATCTTCTTTTGTCGCTTACTCTTCTCAATTTCTTTCTTTTCTTCACTTCCCCTATTCCTCTTGTCATCTTAAAAATTATCTTTATTTAAATATCGGCGCTGGTGGAAGAACAGACGTGAGAGATGACCTGCCGGTATCGTCTCTCATACTCTGAACCAGAATGGCCCTTTGTTCTCTGAATAAATTAAATATGAACGAAGAATGTAATCCTTATATGTATCTATTTGGTGAACAATAAAAGTATTATTATTATTATAATTATTATTAAAATAGGTTTTCTATTTTTTGATTTATCCTTCTACAAGGTTGCCCGATTTATAGAGGTGAGTTTGTATCATCAATCTACCCTCAAAGGATTGTCAAAGTATGAAATCTCCAGTTTAGAGAATAGATTGAAATGCATCGGACATACCACCGGTCACCTACACTTGCTATGCATGATGAATAAGTAAAAACGCGCCCTTCCTTGATGTGAGAGATGGAAATATTATTAGTTTCATTCTAGCGACCTTCCACTGAAATGATATTGATATTATTGACTAACTTACAATTACTTCCACATAATATTCTCATTTCAAATAATGCAAATGCATATTGAAAAAATCATCGATTGTAAATTTCAAGGAACAATAATATCGACACGTAACGACACATATTATCTGTTATGTTTCTGATTCATTATCACTTCTTCCAAATACAACTATTTGATTTTCAAGTATGCTTTGTTATTACGAATAGAAATTAACTTCTGGGGTGATTTTCTCAAGATGAAATGTTCATATAAGCATAGGTAAAGGAATTTATTTTGAAGATGAAGGTTGTCAAACTTTGAAAAAATATCTGCTTTTTGTAGATCTGATTTTTGCAACATCATTCTAGTAGATATAACACAGCAGAATTTCAACAAGATTGGGTAGTTAAAACGTTGGCTGCCATGTGGATAATCGGTGATCCACAGATATTTAATTGCGTCGTTTCCCGTGGATCACGTCATAATATGTCACACATAATAGTTATTATGTACCGAGGACGAAACACTGTCTATTATAGTCGAGTCTGCAAATTGATAGCCGAGACTTTAGCCGAGGCTAGCTATCGGGCGAGACAATAGACAGTTTTTCGCCGAGGTGCATATTACATTTTTTTTGTCGAACTCATACATTTATATTCGCATCACGGTCCTATTCACACGTGAAATCTATCGGATTTCGTGAATAATTAATTTTACAACAGCAAATGACAGTTGTTGTCAACTTACTTTCCGCGCGGACCAGAGTTGCCAGTTCAATTTTTATTCCATCAGTACCATGTCAAAAATTCAGTAGATTTCAATAAATCTGTTTAAGATCTATCTTATGCTATACCAATTCCAAGAGAGGATAACGAAATGAACCTATGACGTTAAAACATTATGTACTTTCAGTAAACAGGAAAGTAAACTATTTCCAACAGAATAAAACCAAAGAAAACAAACATACTCATAAATAATCATATTCCTAATTCTCAATTCAAAAATACTTACAAATATCACAAAGTACAGTAACATAGGTACTTCTAAGAACTGAGTATATGAAAAAGGAAAGAATAGTAAAAATGAACAAGAAAAATAAAAAATAAATAAAAAAATTAAACATAAGAACCGTTATAACAGAGGTATATGAAACATTAAATTTGATCTGAATCAGATAAGGTACTTTCCTCTTTTGGTTTATACATATCATTAGTACCTATATTTACATTTATTACTTATTTTGTAAAATTAATTTATAGTGTCAAAATATTTTTCAGTATATTTTGAAATGTTTTAGTAGATCAGTAGATCAATATGCAAATCAGATCTACTGTAAATTCAGTAAAACTAGCAACCCTGCAGCGGTGTTTGCGGAAAAAAAGTTTGTGTCTGCGGACGAAAAGTACTTGCCTTCGGAAATAGTCGGTTTTTCGTACGAATATTAGAAAGTAAAATGTGATTTTTTCTAGAGGTCGACGAAAAAATAATATTATATTTAAATGTGGAACAGAAAGTCTCGGCCTCCAGATAAATGGGCTGCTATTTCACTGGTTGCCTCCTAATATATTTAGCTTATTCAAACCACATCTGTACGACTGGTTGCATGGTTTTTGGGGTTAATACACTACACACTGTTTTACCACTAATCAAACAGATTTCTTACACCTCGACACGTGTTTCGCTAACTATGTTTGCATCTTTAGGAGAAGATTAAAACTGTTTTAGCGAAACACGTGTCGAGGTGTAAAAAATCGTTTTGGTTAGTGGTAAAACAGTGTTTAGTGTATTATCGTGCCAACGGTTCCAGTCTTCGATATATCAATTTGGGGTTAATATTTTCTAGCCAATTTTTGCCAATGATTCAATGTTTCTGCTCGTGGCCAGACGACCATAGGGACGTCCAGAGTGTTTGTGAATAGATAAGAACGAACCTTCCACAATTCTGGACGCCCAGAACGTTCTTGTAGGAATAATGATGTGAGGGAGAGTCAATATCTGATAGATCAAGAGCTGCAGGAAGAAGTGAATAATTCTTTAGATGTATAGGAGGAATTCGCAGAATCACCACCAGAATATAGTTTATCAGAATTGGAGAGTGGGGATGATGAAAAACATTCGTTTTTATTGATTTTACCGTTACACTGATTGTATCATCGGTGATACACATGGCTCATAGATGAAAGCAAATAAGTTGTGAGCCATGTGGATCCCGGTGATTTATGAAATTAGATATAATTGTTCATCTCATGAGTTTCCAGGTCCAATAAAATGGGGAGAAATATATTTGTTTGACTATCTCAGCTTGGCCCTTGACAAAGCAGTTCAACTCTCTTATGGTGGCAGCCAGTGTTGGGAAAAACAATTTTTCAAAAAAGTTTGACACCTTGTATATCATTTGCGGACCTTCGTTTATGATAACTTTTCTTCTTAGAAACCCCCAAAAGTCATCCCTTGAAGAACTGATACATGATTCAATTGAATAACAGATGAGGGTAGATTGTTAACACAATCTCATCTATTCGAATCTGATAACCTTGAGGAATCAAGTAACCTATCATTTCAGCTTCTCATAACGGATTTTTACTATTATTCAAAACTTCAAACTATAATTTTATTTTGAAAGAAAAACACAAATTTCAAAGTCGGTCGACCACACTTTATATAAAAACAGTGAAACTTTTATATAAAATGTGGACGACCGACTTTTAAATTTGTGTTTTTCTTTTAAAATACATTGGACCACTTAGAGTATGGATGATTTCTACGATTTATAATTTTATTATCGCATTTGGGTTTGATGACTTTGAGGCGTAAAATAGAAAAACAATTGCATCATTGTTATGTAACTGCTATTGTGTCACTAAACATAACTATGAACTCACCGGCAAAAAAACTGCCACCCTTAAACTTGTATACGGGGATTATAAATTGGCTAACTAAAATGACAATAACACAAACAACTTTGAAGGAAGAATAAATCTCAAAATCATCTCCACGAAATTTATATTTATTCTTCCTTTAAACACTTCCACTCCACTTTGAGCAATATGGACTTCTTCACACGTTTAACAAACAACTTTAATTTGCCGGTGAGGGTATATGTGTAAATTTTCCATTCCACATTATATTTTTCTGCAATTGTTTTTCAATATACCTTTTTTGACTCGTCTGATGAGTTTCATACAATTGTGCATATTCTGTACCTATTCAATCGATTCATTCTATTCTATCTCACCTTGTGTACCCATGATGTCCATGTGTAAATGTGCTAGGCCTGTGGCAATAGATAACGCCATATGAATCATTCCATTGGTGTCCAAAGTATTCCTTCCGAGAAAGTCAAATAGAGACCCACGTTCATGGTAATCTGTTATCAACCACAGCTGTGTCCAGGTTCCATTATCTGCATAAAATATGTAAATTAGAAATCATTCGAGAATTCAAATGAATCATTTTCAATACATCTGTTCACAATACAAACTTATTGATTTCAGTACAATACTGCTTTTGAGTGCTATGATGCGAATGAAAATATGAAGAGAAGCGGCAATTATTACATACTACCATTTCGCATATCACCGTAATAACTTTAAACAATTCTTGACCATTTTTCCATTGTATTCACATTAACTGAAAATTTCTCTGAGATGAGTCGAATTTTGTTCAAGTTCGTTTATAGTTAGTTTGACAACTAATTGGACTCCGCGCTTCCTTAGTAATGGAAAAATTATTATATAGTGAAATTCATAGGAATGTACGTCAGTAAATAAATTGTTTTGAAGATACTGAGTGTTGAACTTATCAGTATCTCATTACTTCAAATATAAATAACAAATTTCAACAAAATTGGGAAAAAGAGTTTCACGAATTTCCCGGAAAAACGATTTTTCAAAGGAAAATTACACCATGCATCTTGGAAACTATGCATTCACAGATGTATGCTTATGTACAGGGTGTTTCTTAATTTTGATGGACAACGCTGGACAGGTGAATTCATAATTACTGAGATAGGGATAAACGGTCTTCAAGTGTTCAGTTCTCGAGATACAGGGAGTTGAAGTTGAGAAATTAAGATAGGTTTTTGCAATAACTCAAGAACTATTGGATATTTTGGATTCAAATTTGGTATATACCCCTGTATCTTCGTTGCTATTGTGTATGGATGTTTCAAATTAAGTAAATGGATTTGAATTCATGAGTGTATAATTTCGATTGAATCAGACCAAATATGACACTTCCGGTTTGACCGGAACTGCATCCAATTTTTTCATATCAAATACAAAGTATACTTTTCTCCGAAAATTACGATTCAGTATGAAATTTCTTTTCCAATGATATATCACAATCATACTTTCAATTATTTACAATCTACTCATATAATTGAGATTTTATAAAAGAATACTTTTTGTATTTCCTTCTTAACTTAGGAAGGAGAATTATCAAATTTTGTTGCGTCAGGTTTTGCAGTTTCAATAATAATTATAAACCCATAGAAAAAAATCCATGCCATAGCCAACTAATATGAAGTTGAAAAGTTCAATGCAATATTAGTAGGTATAGCAAGGAGATTATCTCCATTACAACTAAATAGGAAAACAGAAAATTGAATTTTTCAACAGTCAACAGTCGTAGAACCACCACCACTGGTTAAAATGCCCGGAGTGACTTTCTGGTCAAAAAATTACCCATTCAAAGATGGAACCATATACCGAATTTGAATTTGAAATATTCAAACAATCTTGAGTTATTGCGAGAAATGAAAATTTGAAGATAGTATGATCCTGTCGGTTGAATTTTGAAACACCCAGTATACAGTAGTTGCCTTTAAACCACATAAGTATTGACCATCTCGAAGTTTGGGCACATACGTGAATAATACCCTGGATACCTTGGATGAGAAAGTTACAAACCATGCAACCTTCATTCTCATCCTAGGTGTATTATATAACATCCAATTATTCATGGTTTTTACAGTATATGTATAATGCCATACATTACTCCAGGCGGGAATAATGACGAGGAACTAATGGACATTATTCCCTCTTGCACTCTACCTTCACAAGATTTCTCAAAAACAATAACATCATGAACAAATATTGTCTGTATCAAATACATAGTGTTTATGCATTTTGAATTATATTGAAAAAGAATTATTAATCAGAAACCGGTATTTCTGATTACACATTCATTTAAACCAGTAAAAAATTCATGGAAACAGGGTTTTTCTAATAATAAAAGAGCAATCTTATCTGTTGAATCATAATCTATTGTTGATAGAAAATAACACGTCGCCCTACCTGACAGCAATAACTTAAACACTTCTGATATGTTTGTTTTGATGTATGTAACCTAATCCTTCTGCACATAAAAAGAAGTCAATTCTGAAATATTCACTGTGGACAACAGCATACTATCAATTTTTCAAGATGTCCTTGTTAGCGAGAGCTTCAAGGTAGTATTTAAACTTGACAACAAAACAAAAGAACGAATAATGATAATGAGAATAATGTGCGTTTACTGGGTTTTCATATACACAGCAATCTCACCTGGAAAACACAAATGACAGAAATAAATAAGTAACTGTCTTTGGGTCGTTTTGCTCTGAGGAGATTGATAAGGGTGGTATGCAAAAATGCTCCTAGAATTGCAAATTTCGGTCTGATACAGTCATTTACAATATGGGATATTATTATGGGGTTCGGCTTCAGCAACACATGATGTTTTAATATCCCAGAAGAAAATAACCAGACAGATGGTTAGAGCTAACTTTAGAGACCATGCAAAAATTATTTTCATTGATTTAGAGATTCTCACGGTATCATGTTTATATATACTGGAAGTTATCTTAAACTATACGTACACAACAATAACGAGAAATATACTACGGGGACACTGATACATGAGTATAATACCAAAAGCAAAGAGGTCATTCGAACAGCTAAAATGAAATTAGTAAATAAGGGAAAACAAACCGAAGTATTATAAGGCAAAAATTACAATAAGATTCCAAAAGAATGGAAAAACTATCCAATAAAAAAATTGAAATGTGTGGTGAAGCAGTATCTTTTAAGTCAAGCATTTTACTCAATCAATGAGGTTTTTGATGCAGGCTGGTCAGGTTCATAAATGGAAAAATACACTAATGAAATTGTTCAAATTTTATACTTATGTGTTATTCATGAGGAGGTGCTGATTGATTGTAATTTTAATTTTTAATTCTGAAGTTTAGATTTCTGATTGCATATTGCATGAGTGCATATTGTTTCCATGGTGTTGTTTTTGAGAAATCTTGTGATTGGAGTGCAAGAGGGAATAATGACGAATTATTCAAGTATGTCACCAAACTTCGAGATGGTCATTTCTTATAGTTGGTTATGTTCGTTAAGAGACAAAAATAGTTTTTTCTCAATAACACAAAATAGAAGCATGCATATGCATTTTTCATCATTTTCAATAGAAATTTATTACAAAAATATTATTCTAGTGGTGAGTAGATTAGATACTTTTTGAATCTCATTCTGTAGCTAGACAGAAACAGTTATTTCATGCAGAAAGAATGAAGATTTTTTTTCTAATTTTCTACTACTGAAAATGAGAAAAACTTACTATGCAAACTTCTATTTTGGGTCAAATATCTCGAAAACTATTCATTTTACCTCAGTTGAAGGTTTCATAATCATTGCAGGTTCATGACAAAAAAATATTAGTTGAATTTATCGTACACGCAAAAGTGAAATGCATTGATCAGAAGGGAGTTTTCTACGCGAAATAGCGTGGATCAATCATAAGGGCTCTGTTATTTGACAGCGCTCGACAAAATAGCGAGCGATATAATAGCGAGCGATAAAATAGTATGGGTCAAATAGCACTCGGATATTTCACATTAACAGCACTCGGACTTTTGAAAATGCGACAAAATAGCGCCCAAAACGTCAAAACGAATTGTCACGTTACGATCAATATTTCTCCGTCAAAAAAAGGTGGTGCTATTTTGATCCATTAAGGATACAGCTACTAAAGAGATAAGGCACATCTCATTTCCTCCTCCTGGGGCCTCATTTTTGAATCAAGAGAATGATTCCATCGATGGAAGCGGGTGTAAAAAGCTATTGTTGACTTGTCTAAAGAAATTATGTGCATTGTTTTTTTTTTTAGTGTACATAATATTTCAACATATAGACCAATACATTTTTAATCTTATATAAATATATTTGCAATGAGTTGATGAGAAAACATTCAAGAGAACTATTGACAGTATAATTTAATATTCTGACATATAATCTTGACAACGTCTTGTTCCAGTTCAGAATGTGTAACGCCCATGCAGAGCGTTCTCTCCAACAATCCTAAATTACCCCTAACTTGAAGCGCCTTCCGTGATTGTAGTGGTACCAATGGGCGTGTACACCTTAGTAGAACTTTTAACTCAAACCATGTTTATAATGATCCTTTTATACATAAATAATGATTGACGACATAATTCGATCGAAAAATTAACTGGAATGTTTTATTTTTGGATATAAATAATAGTACCATCTGAAAACGGACCCTCCTAATGACGTAGAAACCTCATCTCGCCATAGTTAAAAGAAAATACCAAAAGCCCGACGGAGACTGAGGCAACTGATATATTAATTCTTTCAACTGTGATCTCGCGCTAATTCACTCTGTCAGAAATCATGTATCATTCATCTCTGTCTGGAATAGTCTTGTTTCAGTATTAGGGTTTTGACGTCACATCATCGCCTCGTTTTCGGAGGTCCGAAAAATCGGGGATTTCAATAATTTTTTATAAAACGTAGGGAGCTCACAGCAAGAAACGGTTTGCGGTGGTGAGCTAGTTTGGGTGAGTTCTATTGAATTATGAAATGAAAATTTTTTATGATATAAGCCCATTAGATGCATAATTTATTGGACATTTTTGACAGATTACTCAATAAGGATTTCTTTTTGTCTCTCTAGTTTCCTCTTTAAGAAGAACGATTTTGGAAAAACAAATTAAGACCAAAACACAAGATTTCACGTGTTTTTAGTGAAGAAATGGGGATTTGTACCCTCGCCATGAATGAACCTTTTTTCATCTTCATTGTGCCCTCTATTAACTATTATTCTCCAAAATTGTATATCATTTTCAACTCAAATTCTCCACTTCCCCATCTATGAACTATTTATACTTTGGCCTTTTCTAGAACCATGCTAAAGTGGAACTTGCTTCCAGAACTCCTCTATGCGAAACGCGTCATTAAGGCAGTGACACAAAGATCAACGTTTCGCGTGGATATTTCCCTCTTGATGAATTCATGCTAATTTTTTTGGGAACATTCCCTTGTGAGAAGCTCACAAATTTAAATATTGAGTTATTAGAAGCACCAAAAGAAATTGTTAATAATACCAAAAGTGATAGCGATATTCATGGAACTTCCTCATTGAATGATGAAAAAAAAACAACAAATTAATTACATTATATAAAGAATAAATGAATAAATGAATAAATGAATAAATGAATAAATGAATAAAGGAATAAATGAATAAATGAATAAATGAATAAATGAATAAATGAATAAATGAATAAATGAATAAATGAATAAATGAATAAATGAATAAATGAATAAATGAATAAATGAATAAATGAATAAATGAATAAATGAATAAATGAATAAATGAATAAATGAATAAATGAATAAATGAATAAATGAATAAATGAATAAATGAATAAATGAATAAATGAATAAATGAATAAATGAATAAATGAATAAATGAATAAATGAATAAATGAATAAATGAATAAATGAATAAATGAATAAATGAATAAATGAATAAATGAATAAATGAACAAATGAATAGATGAATAAATGAATAAATAACTATTATATATATTTATAAGCATGGTGTTCCATTTGAAAATTCAAAACCGGGGCCATTTCCGGTTAAACCGAAAGTGACCAGGAAATGAAAAAATACTATCTCACATACCATATACATTAAATTCAATTTTGATAAACCGAATATTCTGGAAGTTATGGCTTGTCTACTAGATTCGTTGACACCCGGTATATCTTGGAAGATGCTTCAGAGCCAATAAGAATATCCTAATATTTCTAATAATGGCAACAGCGGAATGCTTAGAGTTCAGAGAAAAATCAAGGAAAGGAGAACTAACCTAACTTTATAACTTCATCTTCGTCTGTCACCTGCACCTTCAAAACCTATCATCTAGTAAAATCTAACAAATACTTTGAATATTCAAAGATAATCCCCACGTTTTTTTTTATTTTGAAACATCGTGGATTTCAATGATTATTTAAAAAATGTATAGAGCTCTGAGGAAAAAACGGTTTGTGACAGTGGACTAGTTAGGGTTAGTACTTTGAGATAATGAAATAAAATGTTTCACTGAAAGAGGCCCATTGTCACCTTTATTATCCGCTGCGATGAATCCAAGTATGTTGTCGTGTCTCAACATAACTGTCTGGTATATCTCTGCCTCCCTGAACCAGGACCTCTCCTCTCGCGAGCTGAATATCTTGACGGCGACGTTCTCGCCCCTCCAACGGCCTCGCCACACCTCACCGAATCTACCTTGTCCTATGATCTCGACCAACTGGATTTGGCGGGCTATGCTTCTTTGGACCAGAAGGGGCAGACCTGAAACAGTTATGTTTATTAAGGCCGTGTCTCACGGTCCAACAATTTGATCAAATTTGTTTGATGTGACGTCATTCTTGCCTGTTTGACTCAAATGCTTTGAAATGTCAAGAAATCTTTGTCACACGATTTGAAGATTTTTGAACAAAAATATTGGTTAAGTAGGTTCTCTGAAATGGGAAAAAAAACAGAGAGAAAAATTGAATTAAAATACATTATATGGTAAGTATTTTGTGTTGTATTTGTAATACAAAGTGATTAAAAAAAAGAGGGAGATATGTACAAGATAATGACGTCAAAGAAGAAATATTGGTAGAGGAGTCCTACCTATGATTTTTCATGAATTCAGACTGGAAGATATCCCATAGTAAATTAAACTACCTAAGAATGAATAGGAGATGTTTCAGATTTCTATCAATCCATATATGCGCGTGAACGTATACCTTCAGAAATGAGATGAGATTATAACAAAGTCTCTAGACAACCAAGCATAAATTTTGGTATTGGAGCAAGACAAAAATATTCCTATAATAATCCGAAATGATCCCCAGTTCAATTACCAGGACAGGCATTTTTGAAGTATTGATAATATTAATGATAGTATTTCTTGTTTATTATCAAGATATAAAATGAGAATCAATGATGAAAACATGAAAACAAACATCCTAACCTTATTGTTTGATCCAACATGACAAATATTTAGAACAAGTTCTAAATTTCAGCTGCTGTTTGACGTGACGTCACTGATGACATCACAGATCTGTAGTTTGATCAAATTGTTGGACCGTGAGACACAGCCTTTAGAGTTCCTAAATGTACTTGACACTGCTGTTTTGACGTTTTTTGTGTATCAGAGTACGGACACTATGACAAGCACTGACAATCAGACATACCACAAATACATTTATGGAAAAAGCGGGAACTGACCGTAAACGGAAGTACATCACATAAATTTCAAATTCAAATTTCTTGGTAGGATATGGAACATTTTTCAACGCATTTTTATCAGGTACACTTCAGAACGGAAGATTTCATGTTGAAGAATAGGATTGTATTCAGAGGAAGAGCCGAACCCACAATTTATAAACTGAGCGGGTATTGAAAAGAACCTTATTCCAATTTAGAACTAACAAGAAAAGAAAAACTTGCAGATGATGAAATTCATTTCGAGCATATTTTGAAAGAAAAAGACTTGAGAATCGAATTTTTAGGGCATTATTATTCAAAAATCCAAGGTTCACGAGTGGAAGAGAGTGAGGAATTCTGGAAACAAATAGAAGAAAAAAATAGAGAGTTGGATAATGAGTTGAAGCAAAAAGATTCAAATACAAAAGTCAGAGTTAGCGAAATTCAGAACTATTACCTTAAAATTATTTCAGATTTGAAACAAAATCAGCCAATATATTCAGAGAAATATAAGAAAATTGAACAAGCAAATATCCAGGCAATTTTGAGCAGAATTCACAGTTTCGATGACCGAAACTATGAAAAACTTGCATTTTAAAAACCAACAATCTCCTTTAGCAATGTGAACGATCTATAGTGAATCGAGCGCTGAAGTCCATTTATACCTACTCTCGTATGTTATTGTTGCCATATCATTTGTTCATTTATTGATTACTCATTACCTACCACTCTTGTACAAGTGAAATTGTTCCATAAGAAATGAAAGTATGTTTCATTGGTTGAAATTTAGCAGTCTTTACCTCATTCTGAACTTTTGTGATATAAAAATATTTTATTTCTGACTGGTATATTATAAGCTTATATCATCTTAGTTACACTATCAATTAGGAGGGTCATAACTCCCTTGGGATGTTATAGATGCTATAATTCCCTCTAGCTAAAATTAAATAAGAAATGCATAGCAACAACCACGCAATAACGTAGCAATAAGGAATCTCCTATTCGCGGTAGTCAAGATCATCATCTGACGTTCTGATGACATTGAAACTATACGGAAAAACATGTCTAACTTCCAATCGGGAAGGTATCTAATGAATGAAATCAGTCAGAAATAAAATTATCTATGTATCACGGGAATTATAGAGCCTAAATAACCTCTGGCAATTGCTGTCCCTCGGGCCAGAGGCCCTCGGGACGCAAACTTTGCCATCGGTAATTAAGGCCCTCATAATTCCCTTAATACATAAATAACTATAACTGAACGTATATATTATATACCTACATATAAGAGACTTATTTCATAGGAATAGTATATGTATTCCGTTGGTATATATGTAAAAACCAACTTGATGTCGACCTCCATTGAGGTCCTTCAGCCATATCATTCAATATTTCGAGAGGAAATAATTTTCTAATCACTCAATCATACCCTTTTACCCACTCGAAGAGACGCTATGCATTGAAATTTAGCAGTTTTTACCTCATTCTGAACTTCTGTGATATAAAAATATTTAACTGAACGTATATATTATATACCTACATATAAGACTCATTTCATAGGAATAGTATATGTATTTCGTTGGTATATATGTACATACCAACTTGATGTCGACCTCCATTGAGGTCTTTCAGCCATATCATTCAATGTTTCGAGAGGAAATAAATTTCTAATCACTTAATCATACCCTTTTACCCACTCGAAGAGACGTTATGCACTCTCATACAAAAATCAAAGATAGAGAAAGATAATATGGATGCACTCTTCCCAGGACTTGTGAAAGATGGAAGATGCGAGGATCCTTTATCTAAGCAAGCGAAAAACATATTCTTGTCGTTTCTGGTTATGTTTGATTGTCACTGCTTGTCTAGTGTCCGTACTCTGATATACAAAAAACGTCAAAACAGCAGTGTCAAGTACATTTAGGCACTCTAATGTTTATGTAACAACTGTGTAGTGGTATAGTCTTCACGAATTCAGTCGAGACACCTCCGTTTTTAGAGTTGACACGAGGATTCAGCAATTCACTTCACAATCTAATATGAATAAATTAAATATTCTCTATTTAGCTTTCCGAGTATGCAGTCAACGTGGACTCGACAACATTGGTTAGAGTATTTTTACTAGGCGTTCCGTGTGTTCAGACTTTGTTCTATTCGAATTCCCGCAAATTTATTATTTCACTAGCTTTTACCCGGGGCTTTGCTCGCGTTGAAGCCCTTAAATAAATATCAATCGTCATTACATTCCAATTGAACTGAATCGATGTGATTCAGTATTTAAAAATTACTACATACAATGAAGTTTCAAAAACTGAAAACATTATTTATTGAAATAATTTAGTACAACGAAAGTTAAAATGTATATCACTACACCAAAAAATAAGTTTTCTTCTCAGCTCTGCGTGAGCTGAAGATTCTTGATTTTGTGCAACTTTTGCTACAGGGGCCTGTGAAGAACTTCTAGACCGATCAGATTTACGCTTCCGAGGCATTTCGAAGACGAACAGAGTAAAAATTAAAAGCGGTGAGTGATTACTAAAACAATAAACTGACACGTAACCTCAAATATTGAATTTTGGTTGCACGAGTTCAATACTACCCGAAATGGTCCTACGTGCCAAAAGCTGCGATGCAACAATGCATCCGTGTGTTGAGGATCATCTTATGACTATTAATCTGTCTTGTACATAAATTCGCAGGAAACATTATAGCCAGTGGAGTAAAGTACGTGCTAATAAAGAAAAAGGTCCCGGATTCGAATCCCGCACTCCACCTACTTTTTTTTTTCTATTTTCGAAATGATTAATTGAAAAAAAATCTGTGGCGGCATTTACTGTTGGGGCCGATAGTAATCGCTATTTCAATAATGTTTTTTTTAGGATCAGCAGTGAGCGAAGCTCTCGACCGGATATTTCGCTTCCGCATGGATTTTTTGTGGACCCCTGTCTCTAGATGGAGCAATTCGGGTAGTATTGAATTCGTGCATTCTGGTTGCGCAGAAGACTAGAACGTCAATGCTGTTCCTGGTCAAGTAACTGAATAGCAAAAAAAATGAAGGGAATCCCCATGCAGTAGAGAATTTGCGCCTCCGTGCCCACCTGATGTTAGGTTAGATGTTTGTCATTCTCATTCCATCATCTGAATAATCCGAGACTCAGGAGTCTAATACATCTGAGAATATGTATACAGTTTCATGATAACTGGTTGAGTGGTTTTGGCGTGAAAGCTTAACAAACTTACATTCTAAAAATTAAAAAAATAAACGCATAAACGAACCCGCTCTATACTTCTAAAACAATTTCAATAATACGGTGTTGCCGCTTCAACCAAAAAGTAGTAGCAACTCTTATATTTGTATTTGTTTCAATTTAATGTCAGTAGATAGTAAATCAAAAGTAAAGATAGGGACATGAAGAGACTCGACCCAAAAAAGTCCTAAATGTCAAAATGTAGGCAAATGATTGTGACATGTGTAGTGAAATTGTGAAGCTGTATTTTTTCTTCATTAAAAATTCTTTTAGTATCATTTTGTTGACAATTTTCATTCTATGTTGTATTTATATTTCAAGTGTGGGACGATAGGGCTGATGTGCCTCTATTTGAGATTACATAAATAACCTTAAAAAAGTAAACGGCCGTGGAAATACCTCTTCTAACATCCGGAATTTCAATTTCTCATTCCTCTCACCTCTAATGTTCCAAAATGGAAAGATGCTTCATTAGAGCCGGGCATTATTTGTATTTACAAACAATTTCCAGTATATAAATACCCGGTATTTAAATACTGGAATATAAAGTTGCTCACATCCGTCAATAAAACTAATTTAGTTAGACGGCATTTGAGCTTGAACCAGAAAAAAATTTCTCTGCGGTACCTTCTCACTTTGTAAATAAACTACGCTCCTCTTCGACAGGTAGGTAAAGTAGAATCGTTTCAATTTTGTATTGAGTGAATCGTCCGACATGAATTTAGGGCCCCCTTTAATGTCTTTGCAACTTATTCTACAATCTATCAGCACGTGCAGTTCATTCAAATTAGTAAATTCTAAATGATAAAAAAATTTAACCCAAGTCTTAACAAAAAGTGACAACGGAAAATGAAAAAACTCCACCGCCCCGTGTGAGAGTCGCACTCGAAATTATGACTTGACTCCTATGTATGATGGCTTTCGGACATTTCCGTATACAAAGAAAGACAATGCGAGAGGACGAACGGGGAAATATGGAGACTGTATAGTACCATCCTGCCAGCGATGCTTCGTATAGTGCATGATTTCGAGTGACGTCGGGACTTGGAAGGATTCTGCCGCCTGGTGTGTGATGAGAACTCGACCTCCCTGCCGATTGATCGACGGAAGACCCGTTAGCTCAATTGGCAGAGCGTTGGGCATGCAACCCAGCGGTTGTGAGTTCGACTCTCACACGGGGCCGTGGAGTTTTTTCATTTTCCGTTGTCACTCGGAATTAGGGCTTTCCATCTTCATCATTAAAAAGATTATCATTACCTGATCCACTTCCACTGGTAGTCATCTCGATCATATGTTTCAAGCTAACCCCCTTGTTCAATATCGGATGATTTGGTGCGTCAGAAACATCCTCCACAGGTGGCAAAGGTTTGTGCTTGCTTCTTTTACGGTGCGAAGTATGGTAGAAATAAACACCCCCAACGATGGCACAAATGGCCAACACCGGAAGAAAAATCGTGGCGGCCATTTCTATTGTCGTTAAATAAGCCGATTTCGGTTCTGCTATATTTGGAATACATCATTATTAGTTTTTTGGAAATACTTGAATGTTCACTTTGTATCAAAATCCCAGTAATATACTTTTTAGGAATATCAAACAGATATACTCCCTTTATAACGGGATTTTTGTTTTTCTATATTTTGATCATGAACCATTACTAGAATCCTTCAATCTGAACCTTGGCACTTGCCTGGCACCTTATGGTGATTCGTGTAACAATTATTGAAAATATTTCAACAATATTCCATGTCACTATAAATTCTGGGAATAAGATAAAGTGAAAAAATGATTGAATGAGAAATCTGAAAATATGATGTCAACATAAAGAAATAGATGTTAGTTAATAAAATTATAGTGGAAATACATACGCTACAATCAAATTTGAACAATTCAGAACCCATTTTTTCAAATTTCTCGAATACTCATTAGTAGAAGCCTATTAAAAACAGTTATCAACAAACTGAAAGCGCAAGCAGAGGCATCAGAGAAATGATAAGTAGAATGCAATTGGGAAGAAAATATAGGAATAAAAGCAATTATTATTTCCAGAGAAGATAGTAGTAGGTATTCAATTCGAAACTTACAGAAATAATTATTATCTCGGATTCCAGAAGATTTAGCTAAGCTTCAAACATAATATCAGTATTATTTTTTTCACATTATTTCACTGTCATTTTCCATAATATCGAGGTCTTAACATATCTCTGATATTTTAAAACACAGAAAATTGACAACCAACTTCAAAAGAGCATTGATAATGTTAAGACTCACATGCAGCAATGAGTACTTAATGGAAAAAGAATTTGGTTTTTATCACGAAATTGATAATTGCAGTCCTTTTTCTATGAATCTGTAACATGAAAACCAAATATTAAGCAGACGAAACACAAGTCTGGTCCATATCAAATAAAAAGGTGTACCTTGTTTTTTAGTATCATTTTGTCTCATTGTGAACAAATACAGGGTAACTCACGGTCGATGGTACGTTAGACGTTTATGGAGAACGGGACATAGGATCATTCTGAAATTTTGATTACTCACGTAGTTGCTCTTGGTCTATCGATCTAAAATATTTTCAGCTCTGCGGCGTTGCCGCTTCTATCGAAAAGTAGCAACAACTTTGTTATTTCAAATAGAACACCCTGAATTTTATTGCATCTTCAGATTCTCTCTGAAGAGCTGATTTCATCGATGTATCACACTTGGGGTCTAGCGGAAATGATTACAGAGATATAGGGTGTGAAAAATCGTCATTTTTCAACTTTAGGATTTTTTTTTTTTTCGAAACTATTCATTATTGGTCAAAACGGCTTACATGTCCCTATCTCAACTTTTGATTAACTATCTACTGATATTTAATTGGGACATATACCGGGTGATCAAGATTCAGAATTCTGCACGACCCTGTATTTGTTTCAATTAAATGTCAGTAGATAGTTGATCAAAAGTTGAGATAGGGACATGTGAGCCGTTTTGACCAATAATGAATAGTTTCGACAAAAAGAAATCCTAAAGTTGAAAAATGTCGATTTTTCACACCCTATATCTCTGTAATCATTTCCGCTAGACCCCAAGTGTGATACATCGATGAAATCAGCTCTTCAGAAAGAATCTGAAAATGCAATAAAATACAGTGTTCCATTCGAAATAACAAAGTTATTGCTACTTTTCGATAGAAGCGGCAAAGCCGCAGAGCTGAAAATATTTTAGATCGATAGACCAAGAGCAACTACGTGAGTAACCAAAATTTCAGAATGATCTTATGTCCCGTTCTCCATAAACGTCTAACGTACCATCGACCGTGAGTTACCCTATATATAGATTTCACTAGCAAAATATATTGAGAATATATTAATGGATGCAACATCTTGATTTGCCTAGCCATGATATGATTTTCTGTTTCAGAATGTGAATCATCGGAAAATATAAGCCAATAAGAATTAACTTGGTTAACGAAAATTATCCTATAATTCCCCAAAATGCATATCTAAAAAGTTGATTATTGCATTCGGTTATCAACAACTATTATTGATTTATTTATCAACAAATGTATTCAATTCATTGTATTAAACGTGCAAATGTCCATTGTCAGCAACCAAGATATTAACAGTTTATAAACATCCGATAAATTTTAATAGGCATCCGGTTGAAATATCATGTCAAAACTATTTTAGGTTCAAAGTAAAGTACTAGTCTAGTTGAATGATTTCTTCTTCCCACGAAGTTGGTCTTGGGTAATTAGCAAAATGTGCCTATAAGTTTGTATCGAGGTTTGCATCTACCCAACAAGTATCTACCCAAGCCGGTTTGACACATCTGAATCAAATATCACAGATTTTTGTTGACAACATTGTGATAGTAATTTTGAAAAGTAAAAAAAAAAACAATCACGGGTATGGTATTGTAAGGTCTCATACGATTGTATTTTTCCTGCTAGTTGGTAACCTAACCTTACAAAGCATTTGTTGGCATATTCATGGCTAGGTATGTTTAACGTGTCTTGATTAGAAATGTCTGGCTAACTTACTAAAAATCAACAAAAATTTGAGAATGGACCAGTTTTTTTTTGTACAAAACACGTACATTTATCTCAATATACCCCATTACTGTTTCTAAACATAATATACCTGCGAGAGGCGGCAATTCAAGGGTAATGTCATTACAGTAATCTCTGTTATTACAACACGCTGTTGACATGGCAGAATAGTCTGGATTATTAGGCACATCAGCTAAGCTTTCGTTACAATAGTGTTTGGTTCGATTCGCAATTTTAAAAATCTCGATAGCATCCTCGTAGCATCTATAAAAAACTAGCAGTCAGTGGGTTATGAAAATTAAATAAAAATAATACTCCGAATAATTCAATCTGGAATGTTACAATGTCGCCTGTAATAGCATTTTACATAACTCAAGATTATTAATCATGCAAATAACACATCTTCAAAAATAAATATTTATTGAATTTTCAGTTCGAATAGCAAACGGTCATATACAGGGTGTCTGTAAAAGGTTGAGACATGGCTCGGCTGTGGACTCCTGCGATAAAAACAAGTTGATTTAGGCCAACTTACCTATATCCAAAATCATCTCGTTGAGTTGGTACAAGGCGTTGAAGTTTTTTTGGAAAAACATAATTTTGCTCATAAAAAGAGTAGGCTGAGATCGATTTTCATAATTTTTGGCATGGCATGTTCTGTGACTGTAAATCACGTTTTGAGATGTTTTTGATCATCCTCAGTGACCTGCAAGTGTTTCAAACAACCATGTTGACGGGCAACTTTGGTGATAACTTTTCAGGGGTCGAACTGGAAACTTCCAGTTTGTTTTTCAGGAAGATATTCCTTTCAGAAATATTTTTTGTATCGTGTTAATTTTTGATAAGTCTCGAGGTTCATTTGCAAATAAATAAATTCTGATATGATGCATCCTGCGCATTTTTGAAAATTAATCTAAATAGTCGGACTGTTTATTGATCATGGCTACAATGGATTCTTATTGTAAACAAACTGATATGTTGTTGGTCCTCGCGGGCTTTACAAGAACTCTCGGGTTACAAATTTAGCGATAACTATTCAGTACCTAAGGTGAGCACTTTAACGCCGTGTACCAACTCAACGAAAAAATTTTGGATATAGGTAAGTTGGCTAAAATTAACTTATTTTTATCCCAGGAGTCTACTGTCAAGCCATGTCCCAACCAGATTATTTTTCGAAAAAATGCATTATATGCCTCAGATCAGAAATTATTCATTTGCAAATGAACCTCGAGACTCAAAAATTAACACGATACAAAAAATATTCCTTAAGGGAATATCTGTTGGAAAAAAAAACTGGAAGTTTCCAGTCCGACCTCCGAAAAGTTATCACCAAATTCGTACGGCAAAATGGTTGTTTGAAACACTTGCAGGTCACTGATGATGATCAAATACATCTCAAAACGTGACTTATAGTCACAGAACATGCCATGCCAAAAATTATGAAAATCGATCTCAGCCTACTCTTTTCATGAGCAAAATTATTTTTTTCCAAAAAAACTTCAACGCTTGGTACCAACTCAACAACTCAACGAGATGATTTTGGATATAGGAAAGTTGGCATAAATCAACTTGTTTTTATCCCAGGAGTCCACAGCCGAGTCATGTCCCAAACTTTTAAAGACACCCTGTATATTATGTGCAGCTGAGATCGTGCAGCTGAGTTTGTAGCATTTTATTGGAAATAATTGAAAGTGTTTTTGATAAATAAGAATGGACTGACAGATTTGGATAATAAATCATTTGCTGTTGATCACCATCACAGTCAGAATGGAAAAATTAACGAGTCTGCAGTTACCTTCGTCAATCCCTTCAGGAAATAGTGGAAGTGGACAAGTCTAAAAAGAATAATCTAAGCACCGGTTACGCAACTGAAGGCAACAGGCATAACCTCAAGAGATAGGCGACCATTGTGTGTGAGGACTTGAGGAGCGGAAATCTCAGAGACCGTAGGAATGTGCCAACGGACTGATAGAGTCCTGACGTCATTATCGTTACTGATTCAAAATTCAAGAGGTTGTTTGAAAATATATCACACCACCGACATAAATTACTAACTAGACCGCTAATGCAATTGTGCATTGAGCATAAGCCTTTTCAGGCGAGCTATTTCATCGAGCTTTTTGGGTTGCTGGAATATGACATGGAAAAAAGTTTTAATAATAATTTATTTTGAAATTCTGAAAAGTTGTTTCATTTCAATTTTATACATGTGTCTCGAATTTGAACGTTCTATTGCAACTTTCAGTTCATGATATTTTTTCAATTCCTACGGAATGTCTGTAATATTAAAAAAAACGACAAAACTATTTCATACCAGCAGTTTCATCATGCGACTAACTTTCAGTTACTAATTATCGATAAAAATATTTGTTTCAGAAAATAATAATCCTCGCTTCAAATTACTGTAATGTTTGTTGCAAAGTTGATGTATCATATAGCATTCCGGAGGGAAATTCATATAAATGGATTCTATTAGTACTAAAATGATGACAAAGTCATCTATCAAAATATCATCAAACTTCTTCATGTATATAACCAAAGTTTAGGACAGTTTTGTCGAAGTTACATTTATCAGAAGAAATAAAAAATTATCAAGATATAAAAAATGCAATAGAATGTTCAAACTCGGGACACTCCCCCATTATCTTCCAAGCTCGAGAATGTATGGGGCCATTTGAAGACCATATGGGTACAAACCTTTGATATTGGGAATGAATGGTTCCAAACAAACTACCTCGACTGAATTCGTGAAAAACCTATTACTGCAGGAAAATATTGAAAGTATGACGAATGAGTCATCCTCCGAATCAGCGTTTCTCAGCAGAAATTTCAGGAATTAAATGTCGAAATACAAATCGAAAATGGGCCCGACGATTTTCAACTGTAACTAGTATAATTATAAATTCAATGCATGTCCGCAACCGAATAAATCTGCAGAAAAAGAGAAGACTGAAAATGGTAGCTTTTTTGCTTTCACATGTGATGGATTCTCCGTAAATTCTTTCAACAAAGGATGTATAATAGATTTAAGGGCTACTGCTCGTTTTACTCCACACAAGACCTGGCTGAAAAGGTTTCAAGCAAATAAAAACAGGAACCTGGAAATTGAAAATGGTGCAAAACTTCATTGCTCAGGAACTGGAAGAGAAGAACTACTATTGGAAAACTATCATAGCATGAATGTTGAATATGTTTGTTCATGCTCCTGATATCACTCTGAATCTTTTGTCCGTCAGCAGAATCGTGAAAATTGGACATTGCCTTTTTGATTCTACTCATGGATACCGTATAACAAGCTATGAGATTTCAATTGATTATACAAGAATCACAGGTTCAAAAAAACATAGCATGTATATTCTTAACAATATGATCAATTTGAAGTACACTCAGTGAACCAAATTGACTCATACGGACACCTCAATAAACAATCCATGCAGCGACTGAAAAATTTATAACTGGAATAAATCCGATGTTGGGTAAAGATAAAATTCATCGCCAACCCTTCAACAAGGTTGAAGGTAAGCTTGCAGAAAATATTCTTGATCTACTTCATCTGATGTTTGCGGACCTATGCCGAATGATTCCATTGGAGGTGCAAAATACTTCCTCACCTTTACCAATGGCTACTCTACAAACAATGCAGTTTATTTTTTCAGTAAAGAGTCAGAGGCAACTGAGGAGTTCAGGGAATATAAAGCACTAGTTAAAAATGAATCAGGCCGCAAAATCAAAAACTTGATAATAGCAGACAACGGAACTAAATACTTGAGTTGACGAAGGTTTTGAAATCCTGTGGTATTCAGCATTAGAAAACAGTCCCTCATTCTCCCTAAGGAAATAGTGTCGCAGAAAGGCTTAATCGAACGTTAGTCGAGAGAGCAAGAAGAAAAGCATGATCCTGGAAGCTTATCTTTCTTACGATTGTTGGGCGGAGGCTATCTGGAGGACCATTCTCCAACCAAGAGCATGAAGAACCTGACTCCTAAACAGGCGTTGTCAGGAAGAAAACCGGACTTGTCACAACTTTGTGGATTTGGATGCAGAGCTTCAGCCCACGTTCCAAAAGAAAAACAAAAAACATTGGATGCTAAAGCTCACGAATATATTTTCGTAGGGTTTAACAATTCATCAAACATATTTCGCCTGATTGACCCTATAAGTAGAAAATTAGTTGTCTCCCGAGATTCCATTTTCATTGAGCGTCATTGTGACACAGACAGATATCAGAAATTTTCCTAGGAAGCGATGCTTCAACAATATTCGTCAGTTACTATTGTTGAAGTGGGAGATAGTAATCCTGTACTGTACCTACTGTACCTCCCGAATAATTTCCAGTATCCTTATCTTCAGATTCGGACAATGTCGCTTCCCATAACTCTGAAAAGGGCGAAAAGGATATGGATTTTACAGAAGAACCTACGCTGTTTGAAGATATTGATAGTAAAATAGAAGTAGAGGATATACAACAAACAGTCCAGAGGCCTAAAAGGAATCAGCATCCAAACAACCTGATGAAATTTGAATTTTTCAACAGAAATGTCACCTGCGTTGCAGGCATCTTATCATTCTTTTGAAGTAATCAAATATCTGTCAGTGTAATTCTGTGATTTGATTTTAAAAAAAGCGAACTAAGTGGTTGTTTAGTAATTTACGTAACCATGAAGTCGAATGGAAGAAAAAAGGACTTGCAGTTCTTTCTCGGAGACGGTGTTATTGGCTTATTTTTCGGAACTATAGCAAAACAAAAGCCATCAACAGTGTATATATGTAATTCATGAAAAGTGACATTTTATAACCCGTCAAACAGAAATGAAATTTCAAACTTTTTTCCAGTCACAGAAAAAACATCATTATATTCGTGAAAAATAAGAATTGGGAATGATTCTTGATAAATCGATACCCACGAAACAAATGATTGCCGACGTTTTGACGAAGGCATTACCTTTTGAGAAAGTAGAAAAATGTTCTAAATTTTCTATTATGTGATATACCTTGCATATTTTGTTGATTTTGATTTTGTTAATATATGCAATATATACAAAATGTCTAATAATGTTGTCTCCTGGTACCTCTGTCGCATCACACTATGCTAGTTGACATATAGAAAAGTCATAACGCATGGAATCGCTTGATGCCTTCAATTTCGTTACCTGGAATGATTTCTTGCATCTAGTGGTAGTACTACAAGTGGTCCTGCTTATGTTGGAAATAGAGCAATTGTGGACTTGAAATTATTGAAGCAAGAAGCCCATTTCTACTGCAAG